GCCTGTCTGTTGGTTGCAGGGTGGAAGGGGGCTGAGTGGATGTGCCGGATGGCATAGTAGCTCATGCACTCCTGGAACTCGGCCGAGGTGAAGGCCATCCCGTTGTCCGTTACGACGGTGTCAGGTATGCCATGGGTGCTAAAGATCCGCAAGAGGGCGTGAATGGCAGCCCGGGATGAGGTGGAGGGGACTGGTACCACTTCCAGCCATTTGGTGTATGAGTCTACCGCAATGAAGAAGATCTGTCCCTGGAAGGGCCCCGCAAGTTGAGATGAAGCCAGGCCCATGGCTTGTGGGAGGACTCCCACTGACGCACCGGGGCCCTGGGGGGATCCGGCCGGGACTCTTGGCATGGCTGGCAGTGCTTTACACAGTGCTTTACACAGGATTGATACCAATGTGTGTATAGATCTTTAAGAGGCAAGTTTAAAAAGGATACAGGTAGGCTGCTCTTGTTAAGGCAATTCAACCCGATTTCTGTATTATGCATTGAAGAATGTGGAGAAGGAATACTATTCCCTTTTGTGGTAAGATAGTTATGCGCTTGAATGATTTCGGCTTTTTATTGGAATAACAAGACATGACCACAGTGATTTGATTATGAAAATTTATTGTAGAAAATCATGGAGTCCGCTTGGAATGTCTATGAACTGATGAGGACATCTTGATGTATGTATAAAAATATAGTGAGCCCAGGAAATAATGGCTTGGTATGTTTCTTGAAACGAAAACGGACATGAAATTGAGCAAACTTCAGAGGACGGTGGAAAACAGGAGGGCCTGGCGAGATCTTGTCCATGGGGTCACGAAGAGGCGGACTCGACTGTGCGACTGAACAACAACAAATGTTTCTTGATAAAGCATTGTTTGGAATAATTGTAAAATGTATTTTAATAGGAAGTTTGATGTTGGAAGAAGTGTCCACGAAACGGAAGATACTCTGGAGAATTTCGTCCATCACCCATGACCTGTATCAACACAAGAAATTGTTATTGTAATGTTGTATCTTTGTATACTTACGCTTATAAGGTTTTGAATTATATATGCACATTTTGCAATATTTTCTAGTTATTTTTGGCCACCAGACGTAGCTGCGGGCCAGCGCTTTCATCCGCACAATTCCTGGGTGTGTTTCATGTAGTGCGGCTAGTACTTGCTGGCACAACGGTGCTGGCACCACCACCCTGCTACCCCACAACAGGCAACCCTTGTGCGCAGACAGCTCGGCCTGGTGGGAGGAGAATGCAGCGAATTCAGGGCCCACCCAGCCGGTGGGCCACCCCCTCCCCACCCAGTCCAAAATGTGGGAGAGGACACGGTGCAGTGTGTGACATCGGGGGACGGTTGGGGAGGGCCTCAAGAAGCAGGATGTGATGCACCGGGGCCAGGTCGCAGGCAGAGAGCGGCAGCCTGCTTAGGGTGTTGGCATGGCCCATGGCCTTCCTAGGGCGATAGACGAGTGAGTACTGGTAACCGGACAGGAAAATCGACCAGCGCAGCACCCTGGGGGACAGCATTTGTGGTGTCTGGCAGTCCAGGGCCAGCACACCCAGCAGTGGCTTGTGGTTGGTCATGATGGTGAAGGGCCGCCCATAATCGTGGAATTTCTTGATGCCCACCACAATCGCTAGAGCCTCTTTGTCGATCTGAGCGTAATTTCTCTCTGCTGAGGACAAGGTGCAGGAATAATACGCCATGGGAACCTCTCTGCCATCGGGAAGCCAGTGGCCCAGGACCGTGCCAACCCCGTAGGGGAAAGCATCGCAAGCAAGGATGTCCGGTAAAGTCTCGTTGAAGTGTGTCAGGACGGTGTCTGAAGTGAACAGCTCCTTGACAGCCTGGAACGCCTTGGCCTGTCGCTGGCCCCAGACCCAAGGGGCTCTTTTGTCTAGGAGCCGGTGCAGTGGCTCCGCAACCTCAGCTTTGTGGGGCAGGACGTGGACGTGGAGGCTGGTGTGTTGACGATGGCGCTCACCTTGTATGGGGCCGGATGGATGCCTTGCGCATCTATGGAGAACCCCAGGAATTCAACCCTCAGAACTCCCAGATGGCATTTTTCCCTCTTTTTTTTTTCTTCCCCTCTTGACCTTGAGCCTGGCTGCATTAAATCATTGCAGGACTGTGTGCAGCCTCATGGCCAAGTTCTCCTCGGTGGGTGCAGTGATTAAAACATCATCGAAGAAGGGTTGTACCCTGGGAATCCCTTTAAGGAGAGAGTCCATTAGATTCTGAAAAATTCCTGGGGCCACGCTGACCCCGAACTGCAGCCTCCGCACCCAGAACACACCCCTGTGTGTCACAATTGTCTGTGCTTCCGCTGTCGCATCGTCGACCGGGAGCTGTTGGTATGCCTAAGCTAAGTCTAGCCTACCGAAGACCTTGGCACCCACCAGAACGGCCAGGACGTGGCTGACCACTGGGACCAGATATGCGTGGTCTTGTAGAGCCTTGTTTATTGTACATTTATAGTCCGCGTAGATGCGGACATCCCCGTTGGGCTTTACTGGAGTCACAATTGGGGTTTCCCATGGGGCATGGAGTACCGGTTCCAAAACTCCTTGGGCCACCATCCTATCCAACTCCATGTCGATCTTAGGTTTAAGAGCGAATGGTGCGCGCCTGGCCCTTCAGCCTTATGGGCCGAACCGCCAGGTTTAGTTGTGGAGAAACCAGGGGTCCGGTGTAACGGCCAAGCTTCCTGTCAAATACCGCCGGGAACTCGTCATACACTGCTTGGTAGTCTTTGGTGGCCACATGGTGCACCCCGGTTACCCTGAACCCTAGTGGCGCAAACCATGCAAGTCCTATGAGGCTCGTACAACTGCCCCTCACTAGCAGCAGGTCCAAAAGTCCATCAAACTGCCTGTACTGCACTCAGAACTTTCCCTCCCCCAGGATGGACACCTCATTTTTGGAAAAGTTGCTCATTTCCAGGGGAGGTCTTAGTGCCAATAGGCAATGGGGCCAGTTGACCCACAGCCCCAATGGAGGGTGGAAAAGACAAAAAAGACCAGGTCCCACCACTGCCATCTGCCCTACCCAGGGTATAGGCAGCTGGCTCCTCAGTGGCCACACTTGTGTCCACTCCATCTGAGGCCTGGCCAGCCAACTTCTAGTGATGGCTCCCACCTACTTCATATGGGGTACTCCCTTGGCCCATATGGATGACCATTGTTTGGCCTCAGTGGATACTGTAGTGGAAAGTGGCACTGATTCTGAGGCCCCATTCTGGACTTTTGCCCAAGGCCTCCAAATATCTAAGACTGCCCCTAGACATTTCTCAACTTTTCATGCAGATGAAAATAGTACAGATTGATTCTTTTGAATGGCCTCTTATTATTTATTTGATTTATAGACCACCCTCCCCTGTGAGGGCTCAGGGCAATGTACAACATTTCGATAAAACATTTCAGTAAAACATATACAAATTGAACGAAACAGTTTAAAAACAACAGACAATTCTATAAATATTGCAGATGGTGCTTAAGGACCAATTTATGTCCTTAACACTGTGGCGAGGAGGGAAGAAGGAAGAGGCTAGGTGTGGAAACCATGGCTGTCCTCAGCCATAGGCCTGGCAGAACATCTCTGTCTTATAGGCCCCGCGGAACTGTACTAGGTTCCGCAGGGCACAGATGTCATTTGGCAAAGGGTTCCACCATGCCAGCACCAGGGCCAAAAAGGACAACCAGATATTTCGAGGACAACTGGATATCTTTCGGGCCAGGAATCGCCAAGAACCCTTGGATGAAGCAGTGTGGTTTCTCCCACACACACTAGGATTGCCAGCCAGTGGGGGCTGGGGGCTGGGACATGGGAGGGGCACTGTCACATTAATGGTATGAAGTCACTTCTGGGGCAAACCTGAAGTGACTTCACTGTATCAGCACAACACTATGATTCGCCAAAAACTCTAAGATCCACAATAGAATTTATGGTGAACCATATAATGTCATGCCAACACAATGATGTCACATCTGGGTTCGCCCCAGAAGTGATGTCATGCCATCAACACAACAAAACTTTTCAATTCCTGTTTTTGCCTGCCGCCCTGCCAAACAACAGCAATGATTGGGGGTTGCTGCCTGGAGAAGGAGACCTGGAGGAGACCTGGCAGCCCTACCACACACACTTTGTTGCCCATGTTCAACATCTGGACATATGTGGGCTTGTTGTTCAAAGCGGCAAGAGACTTAATATATATTAAGACAGATTATTTGCTTTCTCACCTTCCTACCAGGCCCATAGCTATGGTGGGGCATTTCGGGGCTCAAATGTGAGGCATGCCCCACAACAGTTGCTGATCAGTGGAGCATGTGGCCTGCCAATCAGCTGGAGGGCCCTTTAAATCTTGCAGGAAGGGAGGGAGAGGGGCAACCATATGCCTTCCCTGAACTCCAAGTGGTGATTTTGTCACTTGGAGTTCCAGCGCAGGCCATTTAAAGGGAACCCTCTAAATGTTTTTTTCCCCAAGTGGGGGCTGCCCACACCTGAACTCCAAGCAGCAAAATCACGCTTGGAGTTCAGGGAAGGCATGCGGCCAGCTGTTGGCAGCTGCCCCTCTCCCTCACCTCCTGCTAGGGAGATGGCAGCCACAAACCTTCCCTGAATTCCAAGAGGCCATTTTGCCTCCCTTTAAATGGTGTTTTTCAAAGTGGGGGCTGCCCGCGCTGGAACTCCAAGCAGGGAAATCGCTGCTTGGAGTTCAGGGAAGATGTGTGGCCGCCCCTCCCCTGCTGCTCTACAAAATTTCCCCATGCCCCACCAACTCAAAATTTCTGGCAACGGGGCTTATATTCTCTTTTATCCTGGGACTACAGTCCATCCTACGCAATTCAAGACGCTAAGAGCTTCTGACAAAGAGGCTGAAAAGTAATGTGTGAAGCAGCACTGATAAGGGAAACTAAAACCAGCTCACCATCTTTGCGCAGACTGCACAGTTCATTCCATTCCATTCCAGTCTATTAATATTCCTTCCTATTTATATACTGGTTCCTTGCAGCAATGTAGTAGAGCCACAGCTGCATAGCTGAACTAAAATAAAGGTCCTGTTAACCGTTTGGAGAAAGTGATCACTGGAGGAAGAGAAGAGAGTGAAAGAGATGCATCAGGAGTAGACGGCGTGCAGACGCTGGCACAGCAGAGCTGATGGATCATCACTGCCGCACACAAGAAGAGCAGGTCAATACACTTACTGCAGAGGCAAGGCTGTCTCAAGAAACTGCTAGAACTGCATGCTCAGTGGCATAAATAACTACCAGCAAGGACACTGGTAGAGGGATATGAAGCTTATGCACGCTGCCACTCAAGCATAATTATCCAGCATCAAGCAGGGATTTAACAACAGGCAGACCACAGACAACTTGAATAGGAGGACCTGAACTTGAGAATGGAGAACTCAGGAGGAATGTACCTGAACATGGCTGCAGTGACCTCTAGGGTGGGTGTTGCCCGACTGCTGCAGGCAGTGTTTGGATGCACCACATTCAGCCTTGTGGCCCACCAAGGGGGATTCAATGCAGCTTACGGCACTTTCTGTATGGCTGTCTGGTGTTTCTGTTTTGCAGTCACCATCTTTATCATCACTTGTGAGTTCACGAGCCTCCACAACTGCCTGAGCATCTCCTGGGGGAATTTCACAGCTGCTTTTGCCATGCTGGCCACTCTTATGTCCATCACAGCTGCTGTCATCTACCCACTTAATTTTGTCCAGTTCAGCTGCCATCCCATCGGGTGCGAGAAGAGAGACTTCCGCATATCGGCTAGTATCTTTGCTGGGCTTCTGTTTCTTGCATATACCACAGAGGTATGTCTGACTAGAGCCAAACCTGGACAGGTGACCAGCTACATGGCCACAGTTTCTGGCCTCTTGAAAATTGTCCAGGCCTTTGTCGCTTGCATCATTTTTGGAGCACTGGTGAACGACAGCCAATATGATAGGTATGTGGCCACGCAGTGGTGCGTGGCTGTTTACGGCTTCTGCTTTGTGCTAACTGTAGTAGTGGTGAGCCTCAGTGTCACAGGAAAGACGACAACGCTGAAGTGCCCCTTTGAACGCTTTGTGGTCATTTATACATTTGTGGCTGTCCTGTTGTACATGAGTGCTGCAGTAATCTGGCCAGTGTTCTGCTTTGACCGGAAGTATGGCTCTCCACACCGCCCTTATCAGTGTTCCAAAGGCAAGTGCTCCTGGGACAGTCAGGTAGTGATTGCAGTGTTCACTTATGTGAACCTGGTGCTTTACATTGCAGATTTAGCATACTCGCAGCGTATTCGCTTTGTCTCACGCCCTTGATATCCAGTCCCAATGCTACAATGCTCCCATGGCCCAGAACAGCAACAGATTTGGAATGCTGACATTCAGAGCTCACTAAGGAATTAAACGTCATCAAAAGATCCTGGTTGAGAAGAGGCCAGCTACTGAAAAAGTGGGATAGCTGGGTAGGAGGTAAGAAAAAGACTATATATAACCTCAAAGGAACAAAGCCTTTTTTCTAGATGTTTTCATTCTCTCTTCATCCAGGCAGGGAATACAGCAGAGCTGAAAAATCCTCATCATTCTAGTAAACACATAGGCTTATTGCAACAATAGCACTACAGGACTAATATTAAGGGTGGCTTTTAACTATCTGTAAGGACTGCCAGGGGAGTCTAAAGTTACAGCAGCTACAGAAAATCAAATCTACAACAGAAGCAGCATCAGCCAAAATTCCAAATCAATTATTGTATTTGTGTTAAAATGAAATTTTCCATGTAAACCTGCAAGAGTCTGCAGGGAGGGAGAAAATATTACTACAATAATCATGAATATTTGAAGAATGAGAACCTCCTCTTTCCAGACTACGGAACAACTGTTTCCTTATGTATGTACTTGGTTATGAGTGATAGGTTTGTGTTGGGCAGAGACTGAGAAGCAAAGTGTACTGTCAAGTCTGTAATTGAAAATGGGGTCAGGAAAGGGACTGTGCATAGAAGGCCCAAAATAATTATTTCCAGATTGATTTTCTCAATGTTTCTTCAAGAAGCATCTGGGCACACCTCTTTGCCCAAAGAAATTGTGGTTACACATTAGCCTTTTGATCCTATTACACAGAAAAAGTGTTGCTTTTTTCCCTTCAAGATCTAGGCACCAGTTATGGTTTAATTTCTCAAAAAGCTTGGCTCTGAACAACCTGCATATTAATTCATCATTTAGAACATGGCCTGGAATCTCCTGGTCTTTTCCAGTGCAAAAAGGACATGGATAACATTTCCATAAATCCAGCTAAATTCCTGTTGCCCGGCCTGAATCTCTGCGTTGCAGATTCTTGGTTCACAACTGAGAAGCCATCCTGGTGCAAAAAGCCCTGATGTCCAGCAGTATGGATCGGGATCTACACCTGAGTCTCCTCAAACAAAGACATTTTCAAAGCTAAGAAGAAACCAAAGCAAGGTGTTTATTCAGACAGCTCGTGTGTGTGAGTGGTTTGATTCCAATCCAGAAATAAAAGTGGCAAATTGACAGAAATATTCAAGATTTTCTTAAATAGATTTAACGTAAATGGATATATAAAACTGTTACATCTACCCACCCCCACTACTGTACCTGTATGCATGCATTTGCTGAATCAGTTTGATGATCAGCGCTCCCCTCCCCACATCTCTACTATGCATGTCGTCCTCATAAGCATGAAAACATGAATTATGCCTGACTACTGGAAAAAGTTCTCTTTGTCTATAAATGTATAGTGATATTTCTTTTGGTATCTAAATGCCTGTGCCTTGTCTAACATAACCTGAATGTAAATAACAATCTAATAGAGGCTGTTTCTGCTCTGATGTTTTGTTGCACTTTGGCTTCCTTATAGAAGCACTGTTTGGGGAAACATCCACATAATTTTCTCTTTTTTTCCCTTCCTCCTTCTATGTTTCCCCCCACTTTGCTGTAGTTTGGTACAATCTTTTTGGAAAGATTACAGTCATAGCACATTTGGATACCATGTAGACGAAAAGATGTGCATTTTTGCATGTCCTGCCTACATGGGCACCATTTTTTTTTGCCTCAATCCCTGAAGCTGGCGCCCCCACCAGACACTAGAGGGCTTTGGGGTTTTTTAAAAATAAGGAATTTCTAGATTGCTATTGCATGATAAAACTGTAACAACTTATTGCAACAATCTACTGTTCCCAGTCTGCACCTTTCCCTTTATAACTTTGCAGTGAAAATGGCTAAAGACATCCTTAACAAAAGAAAGCAGGAAACCCATAGGTTGTGGCAACAGATCTGCCCTTTTCGGTGATTACATTTCACTACATATATTGGGAAAATGCACTGGTGATGGGGAATGGTAATTGCAGAGAACCAAGAAAGGAAGGCACAGGGAAAACTGCTGTGTGAACATTCTGCTGCCACAGCAAATGGTTCTGCATATGCCATAGCTATACATAAAATAATCTCTGTGTGGAAACAGTCCTAAAGAGCCAAAATGGCCGTGCTCCAGAAGCAGGCCTCAAATATTTTCAGAGGAAGTCGTTTACTATGGAGGCAGAGTTAGGGCTTTAATCTATGCATAATTTTTATAGGATGATTGTTTTTTCAGGTCTATTCATCCATTTCTCTGTGTCACATTTTACTCCTGTCTGTGGATTGAGTTTGACCATTTTGCTGTTGTTCTTTATCTCATAAAACCAAATTGACAAGCATTAGCAATCTAAGCTATGGATTGGGGCAACAATATTTCCAAGGGCACCACTGAAACACCATGTTTTTTGAAAGGTGCTCCTCAGCATCCTCTGTGACAGGTATCAGCCCTTTGGGCACCCAGTGATGTACCTCTCACGACAAGATGCAGCTTTGCATAGAGAACAAAATCCTATTGTACAACAATACATTTCACATGAATTATGAGTGTCAGTTTGAGCCTTTCCTTCCCAGAATCCCCCACATATTGCAACCGGTTTACTGAAGCAGGACAGGCAGCAATTAAGTCAAATATGCTTCTCCCAACAGAAAGACTTTAATGACCATTAGTGACCTACTTTCCAATTCAGTATTAAATAATTAATATGTCCTACTTATTTTGTTCCACTGGCATACTAACAGTGCAGTCCTAAACTGAGTTACATCCTTCTAAGCCAGTGGTGGCGAACCTATGGCACACGTGCCAGAGGCGGCACTCAGAGCCCTCTCTATGGGCACGCGTGCCATCGCCCCAGCCAGGCCCAGACCGTCATTAAAGTGTGGAATTCTCTGCCAAAGTAAATGAAAGCATTTGGGATTGCTTTCCTTACTTTGTTTAGATCATCTTACGTTAATGTATGAGTTGGTTTTTTTCTAAACTAAAACCTCAGTATTCAGGTTAAATTGCCATGTTGGCACTTTGCGATAAATAAGTGGGTTTTGGGTTGCAGTTTGGGCACTCGGTCTCTAAAGGGTTTGCCATCACTGTTCTAAGCCTATTGGCTTTAATAGACTTAGAAGGCTGTGACTCTGCTTTAGGATGGCTGGACAATCCCCCTTCTACTACCAGGCTAAAAGGTGGACATTCCAACTGCAGTGTGAGAAAGGGAACATCCTACAGGTGAAGGGGGTTTCAGCATATCACAGAGTATCTTATTCTCCCCCTAACTGCCAAGAATTTTACTGTCTCCAAATATTACTGTTCCATGCCTTCATTCAATCAACAGTTTTAATCCCTGGCAAAAGGAAAAAGCAAGTGCATGTGATTGGAGACTCAGAAGTCATGATTTTTTAAAATTCCGGAGTCAATAAAATATTCACATGGTTCCTTAGTCATCCTCTCATGAGGTGACTTCTATTCTTATTCTCCCTTTGTGTTTCCCTTACTGCCCTCCTCCTGTGCTTCATCCCTACTCCCAGCTAGGACTGCTAACCATCAGGTATTGTGTCTGCCCATTTGGTATTTTTGCCCCAAATTTGGTATCAGGTACTTTGTTGAATAAACAAGGTATTTGAGCCAGGGCATTTCTTTCTGAAAGACCAACAGGCAGACAGACATGTCTCCTTAACTCTGATTCAGCAAGGCTCATGCCCTGGCCCACCAAAAACCTTACCAGACTTGTCCCATTGACAGGTCAAAATACAGCCACACTCCTTCTACTTACCCATCCCTAGATTCACCCAGAATGCCAGGTATTGTTAAAAAAAATTCCAGAGGACAAGCCTGCATTCAGTACCCCAGCTTCTTCATTCTAACATGCATAAGGCATGGCTGGGTCTGGAGAAGAAGGCCTGGTCACAGAAGAGCTTCCTATAACAGGCGGACCACTATTGGCCCATTGTAGAGGTAGATGAGGTTCACCTTTTAGAGCTGCCAACTCTGGCTTGGAAATTAGGGGGTAGTGCTTGGGAAGGGGAAGGAGATTAGCAAGGATGTGATGGCATAGAGTTAACCTTCTAAAGATGTCATTTTCTCCAGGGGAGCTGATCCCTAGCCTGGAGATAAATTGTAATCCCAGGAGATCTCCCGGCCCTACCTTGAGGTTGGCAACCTTATCACTTGGCATTTGTCATTGCTCATTGTTAAAGAGAGCCCCTCTGCCTGCCCAAACCGGGTTAGGAGTTCGCTTCACCAAAAAGATGGCTAGGTACAATTACAAAGGGGTTAAAGGCACCTGTATTACCTTTAACCAGGTAGTGCTACCAACCAGTCCTTTTACATTCCTCCAGTCCAGAGCTAAAGGACAGACTCTAGACCATACTGGGCTCAACTAGGGAATCCTCCCTGCGAGGTTGGCTCACAGCAGGAGACTCACAGGTTATTCTAGAGGTAGTAACCCACAGTCTCAGCCACCAGATAACTCATTGCAGCAGTGGAGACAGAAACCAGAATTGGTGAATAAAATATATATTTATTTAAGTACAGAGTATAATTAATAAAAAGTACAGAATTACTTAAAATAATATTGTGGGGAATAAAACAAGAAAGCTAAAGAATAATACACTAGCTAAACACTTATAGAACCCATTCAGTTAGGGTTACCAACCCCCCCCCTGGTTTGCCAGGGGTCCCCCGTTTTTTGGAGGTTCTACTCGCCGCCGGCCAGATGGCCAGCGGGGGAAGCCCCACCCCCAACACCCACAGCTACCCCTCTCTCTCCCTTTAAGTGTGTGGAACCCGTGTTTCCTCCCAAACCCGATCTCCGCTTGAGATCAGGCTTGCAGGGAAATGCCAGCTTCGTGCACTTAAAAGGGAAACGTGGCTGCTCTTAAAGGGGAAACGCCAGCTCCTGCACTTAAAAGGGAAACGCCGGCTCCTTTAATTGCAGGGAACTGCCGTTTCTGGAGATTTGGCGCACAGGCGGGGGGGAGCTGGCGGACGTCCCCAACGTGATGTCATCACGTTGCGGATGCCCCGCCCCCTGCAGGAACGCTCCCAAAGTCCCCCGCTGGGGGTGGAAGATGGACTTGGCAACCCTACATTCAGTTCTGTGTCTAAATGTACTCCGTCTCCATAGTCCAAAAGCCAGGCTGGTTGGCTTCAGCAGTCAGAGCTTCCAAGATGGCCAAAAGGTGAGCAAGACAGAGTTACATGTCAGCTTCACACGCAACACCATCATGCCCCCCGTATAGGAGTTAAGGTAACTTAGGGTTGCGAAGTCTTACTTTTGATGGAGCGGGAGGACTCCTGGCCCTCCCTGGGAGTTCTTTGCACGCGCACCACAATGACGTCACCCAAAAGTGACATCATCACGTCAGGCACGTTGGGGGCGGGGCCAGTATCATTCGATGGGAAACCATAGAGTTTTCCCTCAAATATCAGAGTGTCCCCCCACAACGTGCCCGACGTTATGACGTCACCTCTGGGTGACGTCATCACGCCAGGCACATCTCTGTCCTCCCAGCACTTTTGGGGTGAGGTTCAGGAACTGACCCAATTAGCAGGGGTTTCCCTGCCCTCCTGGGGGACCTGGCAACCCTAAGGTAATTTATTTATTGTCTGAACCCCAGACCAGTTACTAGGCCTGAGCACCAATCAAGGTTCAAGCAATGCCTTCCAGATACAAGGAGGCCAATCAAGAATAGAGTGATATCATTGGTTTCTGATTGGTCTCTGGTCATGTTAGAAGAGCAGGTGATGCGATCTGCAGTTTCACAGCACCAGTCCCTTCCCACAGGACTTACCGTATTTTTCGGACCATAAGACGCACCTGACCTTAAGACGCACCTAGTTTTTAAAGGAGGAAAACAGGGGAAAAAATATTCTGAACCTTTGGTCCATAAGACGCACTCACTTTTCCTCCCACTTTTTTTGGAAGAAAAAGTGAGTCTTATGGTCCAAAAAATACGGTAACTGCTTTGGAATGTTAACGAGCCAAGGCCACAGAAGAACATCTTATCTTGCCGGTACAGAGACAGACACTCTTCTCCAGCACGTCTGTGTGAACTAAGGAAACTTAAAGACAACATTTTTAACAACAGCAGGCCACAGCCAGATTGAACAAACTTTTAAAACAGACTCCATTTTAAGTGAACCAAAGTTCTTGACACTCATATGTCCAGGAAGGGGGTGGGCAAGGCATAGGGCAATGTTTCCTTGGATGGGCAAGGGCACAAAATACTGGAAATGTATCTTTCTCCTTTTTGTAACCTTGGAGCTATCTTTGAGATGATGAAGAGAAGAAGAGAGAA